ATTCTAAATTCAATTGAAATAGCAAGTTTCACAATATAAAAAAGATCGACGATCGATTTTGTCACAAGTGATAAAACAAATGTCCACTATGCTACAAAATTGTCTATAAATTCCTTAAGAAAGTTAAGAAAGAGGAGGAATACGAATTTTATTCCTTTTGTTTTAACACTATAAAGGAATTTATAGAAAGTTTCAAGACTAACAAGCATAATATTTTTACGGATTCTAATATACAAGAGCGGATGTATATTTCATCGATATTAGATAAGTTAATTGGTGTTCCATTGAGAAGATACATATATTTTTATTGGTGAATATTATTTTGTGATTTTTCTTTAAAGGAAAAAAATATGAATTTATCATTAATGTTGATATAAATTAAAATAGGGGCGATATTATGAGCAATTCTAGCTCAGATTTTGTAAACAAAGAACGAAATCTAATCATACAAGAAAAGCTTCAGGGTCACAAAATCAATGGTATTGGACTTCTCTCATTATCATTAGAAGAAATTTTATATGTCGAAGTTGCTGGCGGATTATTTAACAATGATCAAACTAAAAAATATAAAGACAAATTTAAACTATCGAAAACTCTAAAGACTGGATTAAATCTTATTAAGTATTTAAGGGGAAGAAATAAAAAAATTCCTGAGAACTTATTTATATTTGGTATAAGAGTTTTTGGTAAGTAGTAATTTTGTCAGAAATTAGAGGCTTTATAGCTGTGCAATTATTTATATAATTATTATTATTCATGTTTTTTTAAAAATAGCAAATAATGTAAGTTTGATCAAAATGCATTACGAAAAAGGAGTATATTTTGAAAGTACAATTGGAGAATGCGTGATTCCTCATGAAATAGAAGATATATATCAACTTATCCGCACATTAAGAATTTGTTGGGCTTTTGCAGTAAATACTCTTTATTTATCTTCTATTATTTAACTAACTAAATTATTCTATATGGGCTCATATTACTGTCATTTTATTTAGGATGAGATTAAAGACACCGCAAATTCTATTAAAAATTGTTTGAATGCAAATAATTTGGATTCAAGTGACGATGACATGTGCATGACCGAGACAATTCCGATACCAAGAAGAGAAAAGTTCTCAAAGACAAGCAACAAGAATGAATGTAATCGAATAACCAAAAATTCAATTATTTTCTTGTATTCCGGGTTTATCAATGGCAAAATAATATTTGAGTTGATATATATTAACGAAATTTATTGTTAAATATATATAATATATATAATACTGTTAAATATATATAATATTGTTAAATATATATAATATTGTTAAATATATATAATATATATAATATTGTTAAATATATATAATATATATAATATTGTTAAATATATATAATGCAATATATAATGTAATAAATGCTAAATTGATAAAAATAAAGTATAAAATATTTTTAATATATAGTGTTCATGTGACTCCTGCAACGGGGAAAGTAGTTCGAGTAAATAAAAGATGAATAATAATAGTAATAATAATCACATTACTACTATTACATTGATGGTTGCTAAGTTTTGATCTTGTCATATTCATTTTGTCTGGTTTTGTTGCAGCATGCCCCATATAATACTAAGGATACTGGCTGCAACTTTTGATGATGGTTGCTACCAAGGTTTAAGGCCACCAATTTTATCAAATATGCCAGAAGAATATGCAAAAATGATGCAAAAATGTTGGGATGTTGACCCATCTAAAAGACCAACTATTGATGAACTTAATGGTCTTGCTCATGATTATTTAACAAAAGCCCATAAAATCGAAGATGAAACTATGATTTTACTACAAACAATTCAAATAATAATGATTCACAACAAATACAAAAGCCACATCCATTAGCATATCATTCAAGCAGAATATTAGATAATGATATTGCTAGATATATAAGTTTACAGCATGAACTTGAACTTGGCCCAGTATTTGAAGAAATTTCTGAAATAAATTCTAACAAGGTTAATTAAATTTTATTATCATTAATTAATTAATTGATTTTTTTTTTTAATGATATTAATTAAGATTAATTAAAATTAGATTTTATTAACAATAAAATTAATAAAATTAATGAGGATAATGAAATGATTGTAGAATCAATCAAGGTAATATATACAATAGTATTTATTATTTATTCAAACGGATGAAATTTAACAGTGCAGTAATTTTTACTGGTAAAGATTTTGTTATTTATTTACTTTTGATTTTTATTCCTTGTTTATAATAAACAAATAATTTACTTTATTAATTAAAATATTAGTTGAAATTAAGGATTTTATTACAACCAAGGTAATTAGGTAACTTAGATATTTTAATACAAAGATGACAAATAACAAAAAATTTTTAAATTAATTTTAGAAATTATGATGATGGATGAATTGTCAATGGATGATTAATTGAAATGATTGATATATTTCATAGTAATCGGTTGACCTTTGCATGAAAAGTTGTACTATACTTT